GTGTTATCTGAAAGTGAACTTGGATGAGTTGTAAATGTATATTACAAACTATAGGGCAACTACTTAAAAAAAAGCAAAAAAAAGAAGTATAACTGATATACTAAGTAAGGAGAGAAAATGGAATCATATAAAATGTTTAAAATCACAAACAGCAGAAAAAGAGTGACTAAAAATAGGAATATAGAACAAGAGTAACAAACAGAAAACAGTAATGAATACAGTAGATATTAACCCAACTATATCAACAATCACTTTAAACATCACTGGTCTAAATGTACCAACTAAAAGCAGAGATTGTCCGAGTAGATTAAAAAAACAAGATCCAACTATCTGTCGTCTACAAGAAACCCAATTTAAATATAAAGACACATATAGATTAAAAGAAAAAGGATGGAGAAAGATATAGCATACTAACATTAATCAAGATAAAGCAGGAGCAGGTATATTAGTTTCAGACAGAGCAGACTTTAGAGCAAGGGACGTTATCAGATTTAAGAGGGGCATTTATGCAATGATAAAGGGCCAACACTACAAGAAGACATAACAATGCTCAATGTGTATGCTCCTCACAATAGAATGTCAAAATATGTGAGGCAAAAACTGACAGAACTGCAAGGAAAAATAAATAAATCCACGATTATAGTTGGACTCTTCAACATCCCTCTCTCAGAAACAGACAGATCCAGCAGGTAGAAAATCAGTAAGAACATAGTTGAACTCAACAGTGTCATCAATCAACTAAATATAACTAATATCTCTTGACTGCTTCATCCAAGAGCAGCAGAATGCACATTCTTCTCAAGGTCACATGGAGCATTCACCATGACAGATCACCTTCCAGGCCATAAAACACACCTTAACAAATCTAAAAGAATAAGAATCATATACTGTCTGCTCCCAGACCACAATGGAATTAAACTAGAAATCATTAACAGAAATATAGCTGGAAATTTTCAAAATACTTGGATATTAAACAACATACTTCTAAAGAACACATGAGTCAAAGAAGACATCTCAAAAGAAATTTCAAAATATTTTGAAGAAAATGAAAACAGATTTTGTCAAAATATGTGGGATGCAGTGAAAGCGGTGCTTAAAGGGAAACTTACAGCATTGAATGCATATGTAAGAAAAGAAGAAAGATCTACAATCAATAGTCTAAGCTTTCACCTTAGGAAACTAGAAAAAAAAGAGCAAATTAAATCCAAAGTAAGCAGAAGAAAAGAAATAATAAAAATTAGAGCAGAAATCAATGAAATTGAAAATAGAAAATCAATAAATAAAATCAATAAAACCAAAAGCTAGTTTTTGAAAAGAACAATAAAATCAATGTCTCTAATCAGGTTAAGAAAAAAATAGAAGATACAAATTACTAAATTACTAATATCAAAAATGAAAGAGGGGACATCACTACAGATCCCACAGACATTGAAAGGATAATAAAGGAATATTATGAACAACTCTATGCCTACATATCATTTATAATAACCTAGATGAAATGGACCAATTCCTTGAAAGACACAATCTGCCAAAACTCACACAAGAAGAAATGGACAATCTGAATAGGCCTATATCTATTACAGGAATTGAAGCAATAATTAATAACCTTCCAAAACAGAAAGCATCATGCCCAGATGGGTTGACTGGTGAATTCTACCAAATTATTATTTAAGGAAGAAATCATACCAATGCTCTACAATCTCTTCCAGAAGATAGAAAAAGAGAGACTACTTCTTAACTCATTCTATGAGGCCAGCATTACCCTGAATGCCAAACCTGGACAAAGATGTTACAAGAAAACTACAGACCATTTTTTCTCATGAAGATAGAAACAACTGTCTAACAAAAATTTTGTACAAGAATTATATGAAGAAAACCGCAAAACTCTGATGAAAATAAATAAATGGAGAGATAGTCCATGTTTGTGGAGAAGAGGACTCAATATTGTCAGGATGTTAGTTCTTCCCAACTTGATTCCAGGAAGTTATTTTGTGGATATTAACAAACTGATCCTAAAGTTTATATATAGAGAGGGAAAAGATCCAGAATAGTCAATACAATAATGAAGGCAAACAGTGTCAGGGGACTAACACTACCCAACCTCAAGACTTACCATAAAGCTAAAGTAATCAAGACAAGTGTAGTATTGGCAAAAGAACAGACAAATGGATCCATGGAACAGAATAGGGAGCACAGAAATAGACCCACATTAATATAGTGAAGCGATCTTTGACAAAGGAGCAAAGGCAAAACAATGGAGAAAATATCGTCTTTTCAACAAATGGTAGTGGAACAACTGCACATTCACGTTAAAAAAAAAAAAGAAATGAATTTAGACACAGACTTACATTCTTCAAAAAAATTAACTTAAAATGGATCATAGACCTAAATGTAAAACACAAAACTCTAAAACTCCTAGAAGATAACTTAGGAGAAAATATAGGTGACCTTGGGTATGGTGATGACTTTTTAGATACAGTACCAAGGCATGATCCCTGGAAGAAATAACTGATAAGCTGGACTTCATTAAAATGAAAATCTTCTGCTCTGCAAAAGACACTGTCAAGAGAATGAGAAGTCGAGTCACAGTGGAAGAAAATATTTGCAAAAGACACATCTGATAAAAGACTGTTACCCAAAATATACAAAGAACTCTTAATAAGAAAATGAACGACCCAATTAAAAAATGGGCAAAAGAGTTCAGATACCTCATCAAAAAAGATATTTAGATGGCAAATAAGCATATGAAAAGATGCCCAACATCATATGTCATTAGGGAATTGCAAGTTAAAACAACAATGAGATACCACTACACACCTATTAGAATGGCCAAAATCTGGAACGATGATAACACCAAATGCTGACAATAATGTGGAACAACAGGAACTCTCATTCATTGCTGGTAGGAGTGCAAGATGGCAGTCACTTTGGAAGACAGTTTGGCACTTTCTTACAAAACTAAACATACTCTTACCATGATACAGCAATTGCTCTCCTTGGTATTTACCCAAATGTGTTGAAAACTTGTGTCTATATAAAAACCTGCACATGGCTGTTTATAGCAGCTTTATTCATAATTGCCAAAACTTGGAAGCAATCAAGATGTCCTTCAGTAGGTAAATGGATAAAAAACTGTGGCTCATCAGATAACGGAATATTATTCAGTGCTAAAATGAAATGAGCTATCAAGTCATGAAAACACATGAGGAAACAAATGCGTATTACTAAGCGAAAGAAGTCAATCTGAAAAGCCTACATACTGTGTGATTCCAACTATATGACATTCTGGAAAAGGCAAAACTGTGGAGACAGTAAAAAGATCAGTGATTGCCAGGGGTTAGGGAGGTAGACAGGGATGAATAGGCAGAGCACAGGAGACTTTTAGGGCAGTGAAACTACTCTGTAAGATACTCTAATGGTGGATACATGTCATTAAATATTTGTCAAAAACCATAGAATGTACAACAGCAAGAGTGAACACTACTGTCAACATGGACTTTGGGTGATAATGACGTGTCAATGTAGGTTCATAGAGTGTAACAAATGTACCTCCATGGAGTGGGAGTTAGATATGGGGGAGACTGTGTATACAGGGGCAGGGGATATATGGGAAATCTCAGTACCTTCCACTCAATTTTCCTGTGAACCTAAAAAATTAAGTCTATTTAAAAAAAGGGTCGGGAGGGAGAGAGAAGAGTTCAGGGAGAGCCTGGAAAGGCAAGCAAGAACCCTGGATTGCATCACCAATGCAATGACAAGCCATTGAGGGATTTTGGTGGAGGGAGCGACAAACTGATTTACATTTTAAGACAGTCACTTTGGCTGCTGTGTGGAGAATGGATCTGAGGGAGACAACGATGGAAGTTGGGAGATCAGAACAGGAAGCTATTAATGTAGTTTAGGTCAGAGTTGATGGAGGCTTAGACTAAGAAAGAAGTCAGCGGCGGCAGAAAGGAATGGTGGATTCAAAACAGACTTCGGAAGTAGAATTCACAGGAGCTGGCGATGGATTAGATGTGCGGGTTGAAAGAGAAGAATCAAGAATGACTTCAAAGTTTTGTATTGAGCAACTGGGGGCCATTTTCTAGATGAAGGGATGGAGGAAGGAGAAGCTAGTGTGAGGAGCAAGATCAAGGTTCGGCTCTGAGCGTGTGAAGTCTGAGACCAGGGTAGTGCCTGACACTCAGTAAGTGGTCAGGTTGCTCATTTGCTGTTGTTACCACTGTTTTTGTTATGAAAATTAGAGGATAAATGGCATACTAGACATTCATTATTATGTAAATTTTTTCCAGAGATCAAAAGAATGGGGGTGGAATCCTCTCCTTTCCTGCCTTCTCCGCAGTGTCTCAGCAACCCTGTCTCAGTACCCTGAATCCTCACACCTTTACAAGCCATGGTGCACTATGCCTCAGTCACAGCTCTGCAAAGTCCACTCTGAAAAATCTGCTGGAATGCATTCTTGCTAATTTTTCAATAAATAAGTCATTGCTCCCAAAGACCCAAAACAATGAATTAATTTTAATAAGAGAGCTCAGGGAACCTACCAATATTACCCTTCCAAAGCAGCGTTTCTCAAAATGAGGCCCTGGACCAGTGGCATCAGCGTCTCCTGGGAACTTGTTAGAAATGCAAATTCTCGGGCCCCACCCCAGACCTACTGGATCAGAAACTCTGGGGTTGGGGGCCAGCACGCTGTGTTTAACAAGTCCTTCAGGCGATTCTGATGGACTTTCAAGCTGCAGAACCACTGACCTAGAGGAATCACAAGAGGTCATATATTGCAATCTTTTGATTCTAGATGGGGAAAATTAGCACCGTTTTAAACAAATAAAACATAATTTAAAGGTGAGTAATACTCTCTAAAATATTTTCTACATTAAAATTATCAAGAACAATATTTCATCTGTGTGAAAAAAAGTACAAAAGAAAAGGATTCTCTTTATTGGGAGCGGGCATGGCACATCCTTGAACGAAGGGCATGGGGAGCAGGTGTGGCTTACCTGACAAATGCCATTGATACACATGTCCAGGGAGTCAGCGTTGCAACGAGTTCCATCCAGTACCTTGGGGGCCAGCTCCACTACCAAGTTTTGACCCCGTGCATGACACTTGAGCGCGCAGGGGGCCGCAGGATCATTATATCGTGGAAGCCATTCATAATAACGCCCCTGATACTGGACGTCATTGTAGGCTGAGCACTGCTGGGCTCGGAAGTCCTCTGCATCCGGAGGGCAGTCCTGGAGGTGGAGAACAAGGGCCACATGTACATCACCCAGTGAGATGAGACAATGGAAGCCGAACAAGTTTATCAGAGTCCCGGGAGTCCAGACCCCACTTGCTTCTTTCCTGGGAGTGACCTCATTCCTTCATTTTTTAAAAAATTTAAAACTGAATCTATAGCTGTGAAATTCTACTGGGACCTCTGCAATAACCATCTATAGAGGGGATCACCTTATTTATTCTGATCATGCTTCCACCCAGGTATTTTTTGCCAGATTATTAAAGCTTACTATATTTAGATGCCAAATTTTGCTCTATTTTAACCATCTTGGATATAAATTTTCAAATGCATTACACAGTCTCCTTTTCGAAACAAGAGAAACGGAATGCTTTTAATTTTTCCAGGTGACTCAAGGTCTTCATAGGGAATATTAATTATCATCCATGCCTTCAAGAGCCATTTCAATGTGAAAGATTATTTGCTCCTATGTTAACCGGCCCCAAACTGCTGCGCTTTTGTGAGTACTGGTGCTTGTTTCTTTGTTTCTGTTTTGTTATTGTTGCTGATTTCACCTACTTTCCTCCCTAGTTGCCACGCCCCCAGGCAACCCTCTTCACCTGTACCAAGCGCCTGCCTTCCACTGGCTGCAGGATGGGAAAGAGACACCGGAGCTTGTTCAAATTCTGTCTACAACAAAAGCAAATAAATTCTAGGTTCACACCCCAGGGAGCTCTTGCAATAACAGTAAAAAGTGTTTGTACAAGTCCTGATGACTCAGGGCTATTTTTACTAAATTTACAAATTACTGATCCCTTCCATCAGATATTTCCAAAGCAAGATGCTGGACGACAAAAAGTGTTACTTTACTCTTCAAAATCAACTTTTGGTATACAAACTTCCCAATTAAAGAAAATAGATACAGAAAAGACAATATATTATTTTATATTTTTCTCATTATAAAACTAATAAATATTCATTGTAAAACTTTGGGAAATCATTTCTATTCAAAAAAGAATAAATAACAAAGATTATTGTACCTAAATCTTTACTCAATTCCTCGATTATTTCCCAAGGACAAATTTCTGGAAATAAAATTTCTGAGAAAAAGGGTAAGTGTGTTTCATGGGTTTTTCAAAATATTCCAAGTTGCCTGCCAGAAAGGTATTATTATTATCATCAGGCTATATGAGTTCACTTTTCTCAATACCTCTTCTCAGTTTGCATATTACAGTTTTCTAAAATTTTTCCAATCATAAGTGTTAAATAGAATGTTATTGTTTTAATTTGCCTTTCCTTTTTATTATTTAGGTTTAACATATTTTCATGTATATTTGCTTTTTATATTAATTCTTCAAAAATTTCTTGTTTTCTATCCTTCATTTATTTATTGGAACGTTTGTCTTTTTATTATTATTTTGTTTTGTTTTGTTTTTTTGTGAGGAAGATCAGCCCTGAGCTAACATCCATGCCAAGCCTCCTCTTTTTGCTGAGGAAGACCTACCCTGAGTTAACATCTATTGCCAATCCTCTTCCTTTTTTCCCTTTCTCTCCCCAAAGCTCCAGTAGATAGTTGTATGTCATAGTTGTACATCCTTCTAGTTGCTGTATGTGGGACGCCGCCTCAGCATGGCCAGACAAGTGATGCATCGGTGCGCGCCCGGGATCCGAACCTGGGCCGCCAGTAGCGGAGTGGGGCACTTAACCGCTATGCCAAGGGGCTGGTCCCCGTCTTTTTATTATTTTTAACACACAAAACTATTAAACTTCATAGTGAAGTTATCAGCTGTTTGTCATTTGTATTGAAAATATTTTCCCCATTTAATTTTGTTTTTGGTGCTTTGTGAAGTCAAGTTTTAAATTTTTATGTAGTCAGCTCTATTATTTCCTTTTAAGGTTTCTTTATAAATGAGCCTAGAAATGCTTTTCCCACCCTGCCCTAAGAACAGATAAAAACTTAAGTGTATTTTTCTAGCTCCTTTATAGTTTAGCAATTATATTTAACTCTTGGTTACATCTGGAATTTATTTTGATGTATAGGATAAGGCAGAAAACTAACTTTATTTTTTCTGCAAATTGTTATTAATAAATTATCAGCCAGAAATTTAAAATATAATTTCTTCCATTTCTCCCCTTTTTACCACTTGACTTTTGTATTTCACTGTGTTTATACTTTCAGCCTTTATAAATTGCCTCAGATCCTTTTTGCAAGTATGTAGGGAATAAATAAAATATAATTAATAAATAAAGTTTCCCCTGGGATGAGTTGTATTACTTTGCTGTGAATCATTCCAACATCCTATATTGTGTCCACATTTTTCTTGTTTTAGCAAGATTAAACCTTAACCCAGGTCACACGTATGGAAGAAAGAGTCAAACTGAAGAAAACTGAAATTGGACGACCTTTGTCTCTTATGAGGACTGTGTCTTCCATCTGACCAGAAGGAAGATCATCAGTGATAAAATTATATGGCCTCCTCTTCCTTCAACCATGGCCAGTTTTCTCTATATCTCACGCTTTGAAGCCCAAACCCAAGAGCATAAGACAGCAGGGTGAAAACAACTTTCCTTGTGTTAGGCTCACCCAGTGTCCCTCAGCATGCTCTAAGGATGAAAGTGCTGGCTGTCTGGCCCTTGACTGCCTTGAACTCCATAAACCAAGGAAGTTTCATAAAATAAACAAGGGTTAATTAGCAGAAGACAGCGCAGGATGCCAGCCTAAACTTAGTCTTTGCTAAAAGGGTGGCCAAGTTTGTGCATGTGACCAGCCTCCTCGCCACAGCCAACTGATTTCATCAGAGGCAAACATCTGGTCCACGCCATGGCAATCTTTCCCAGAAATTTGGAAGAGCAACAAAAGAGCCAGAGCTGAGAATTCACATCAATCTGGGGCTGGGCCAGTCATTTCTTTTATGAGATGCATGTTGAAGCAAAGCAAGTCAGTTCCCACAGCAAAGAATGAGCTAGACATAAAAGAAGGAAAGATGATAAAGCATGTGTTTCAATAGAAGGAGTAAGGAACCTGGGTTCCTCACTTTCTGGTTCCTGGGTCCAGGCCTGCAATGTGTGCTTATGCCTAAGTTCCATTAATCTATCCAGTGAATCCCATTTTTCTTGAGCTAATTTAAGTGGGCTTCTGTTCTTAGCAAACGATGATCCCTGATTAAGACAGCCCTGCATCTGGATAATGCTTTCTAGTTTACCAGGGATTATTACCGACATTTTTTTCTTCATCACCACTCTTTGAGCTAGGCAGGTCAGGATTATCATTACCCTTGTTTTTATAAATGGAGAAAACTGTGATCTAGAAAGTCTTTAGTCACTATCCCAAAGACACACAACTAGAATATGATAGAGCCAAGACTGATTTCCAAAGTAACAAGCATTCCATTATATAATACTGCTTTCTAGTAATCTTGGGGGACATTGACCACTTACATTAAATGCTTTCATTTACTTGGCATTCTTCCAATGTCAACAGTATGACTGTGTAGTCTGGTTCAGCTGGGTCCCATGCCCTGGCTCAAGACAATCTAGGGATTCTTGTGTCTTAAATAGTTCAGCTGACATTTAGGAAGTTTGAATGCCAAACATTCTTCTGCTTTCCTTTCCCTGAGCAGCATTTCTTCATATCAGTTAAGTTCAAGACAACACTTATTGATTAAATATACTTTATGGGCCTTGCTTAGGTTACATGCTGTGGAGAACACGGAAGTAGAACATAATCCACCACTGCCACTTGGTGAGCTTGTTATCTTATTGGAGATGTAGCATCTACATGTATGAAATACATTGAAAAAGTAGGTTATTATTGGTATTTGTAGACTTACTGTAGGACTTTGCAATGAAGGAAATAAAATTGTCATCCAAGAGTTAAATTAAAATTGACTAAATGGAGTTAAAAAGGAAAGAGTAGATCTAATAAGGAAAGAATAAATCCTAGATCAGAAAGACTTGACTCAGTCAGGAGGGGGTAGCCAGCCTGGGAAGCATAGAAAAGAAGAAGTAGAAGAAGAAGAAAGAGGAGAGGGATTAGGAGGAGGAGACGAAGGAAAGGAGGGAGGAGGAGGAGGACAGCAGATAACAACCAGCACCCATTCAAGGACCATCCTGAAGACAGGGTTCTCCGTTCCCTCCTAAGGCCATGAGGATACATAAACCATTCTCATGGATAACTTAGGGAGAGAAGCCAAGACAGGGAGATTATCTAATAAACTGAGTATTTTTATGCAAGAGAGACAGACCATTACCTAAGAGATAATTTATATAATAGGATTGGACCAAGCTTTAACTTGGATTAGATATTTAGTTAATTTTCCTCCACATAACCAGTAAGTAGGAGAAATACGATTTTCACATAAGCAAATTCTAACATTTTACTTTATCTTCATATCCAAATTGCAGCATGAGTTAAATCTCATGATCCTCTTATATAACGAATGCCAAAATTTCTAGCACAAAAATAAATTGTTGTAGGTGACCACTATAAGCTAGAGTAAGCAAACAATGCATCATGGAAAAGGGACATTTCAGACTGGATTTAAAAGATGGTGTGACGTGACTAGGGATATGAGATATGAGAAACAACATAAGCAAAAGAGAAACAGCAGAAACAAATGTAGTCTCTATGAGGCACAGCCTTGTCCAGCAAGGGTGAAAGCTCTGAGCTGAATAAGAGAGAAATCTAACCAACTTCTGGAAGTCCTTGAATGCAAGTGAGGAGAATTAAAAGTAATAAGGATCCACAGAGGGGAGTGACATCGAAAAGGTGGCATTTGAGGACCAGTGTGATGGCAGGACGGATGAAGTTCTTGAGACAGATATGAGAGGAAGTGGCTCTTGCCCAAAGTAGGAGCAATGGCGACGGGAAGAAAAGAACCCTCTAAGAGAAAACCGTCAGAAATCAGCCATTCAAAGGATCCATAGTATAAAGGATCTTTCAAGGGTCACATCAAATGTCACCTCTTCTGGAAAGCTGTCAGGGAGCCCAGGGACCCCACAGTGCAGAATCAACCATGCCTCCCTCTGTGCTCATATAAAAATGTGTTCATGCTACAAAATGCTGTTACCAAATTATGACACACTAATTTTAAAGATATTTTCCCTTTGCCCTCTTCCAGCATTGCCTTTAATCTCATAAGCTCAGGTGTGAAAAAATATGAGTAGTCAGTGAATTCAGTATTAGATCACCTTGCTGATACCTGTGACTGCCCTTGGAAATTCTCCATTTGCTCTGATATACCACTGATAACAATAATTCTTTAGTGAGGCCCCCGGAGCCAGGCCCTGGCTGTGAGGGTCTATGCTGAGTGCTGATCAGGTTATGTCTGAAGAGGCAGCTCCCTAGGAGCCCCAGCACTGCACACAGGCATGCTCTGTTCCCCTCATCTTTCAGAGCCTTCAGCCCGAAGCCCCATCTCCCCTGACAGGATGAACCCGGGGACAGCAACTGAACTACAGCCTGATGCCTCAGGCAGGGGAGCGCGCTCCTCCATTCCTGGCAGTGCCTCCCGCTCCTGCCCTGTGAAGCAGGGGTTCCCAGACACCGGGGGTAGCATTTCTTCCTCTAGGGGCTCTGCATGCGAATGCATGTCCCTATCACATCCAGACTTCATAACAAAAGGACACTCAATCTTTCCTTGAGTGCCTGCCCCCCGCCCGGTGTCTTCTGCTGAGGTGACACAGCTGTCAGGGTCTGTCCTTAAGCCAGTTCCTCCCTATGCTGGGGATCCCCCCTGGGCTGCTGGGAGAGAAGACCCTGGGCAGCGGGGACTTCATTTCTGCGACTTCCCTCAGTTGCCTCTCCTTCAGCTCCTTCCTGCTCTTCCCTGACCTTCGTCCCTCGCCAACTATGACTATGCAGAAGGTCCTGCCTACTGTTCCTGGGATTGGAGTTTCTACAACGGTGTCCGAAAGGTCAAAGTCCTTCCAATTCCCTCTGCAGTTCACGCACTCGTGGGTTGTTAAAAGCGACCATGTTTTAGTTGCCATTGTCTGTAGTGTCATTTCATTATCTAACAGAGCTGGAGACCTTTTCATACTCCTTTCTAAGAGGCATTGTGATGCAGTCGAGTGGTCATGAGCACACACACATGGGTTAAATTCAGCTCTGTGACCTTGGGCAGTTTGCCTAAATTTCCCTCTGCAAAAGTGGGGATAAAAATAACACGTACATTGTAGGGATATTATGACGATTAAATTATTCATGAAAAGGCACTTAGAACAATGCCTAGCATGTAGGAAGTAGTTAATAAGTGTGAGCTATTATTATTATTATTATTGATTTTGGATAGGAGTTAGACAGCTGACACACATACAACAAATTCCATGGTCCCGAGGCTGATAGCCTGAGCCTTCAGATAACCCATGGAGGAACAGAGCTATCAGCAATCTCTGGCACAGAAGTGACCGTGTGGTCTCCGGGGCTCACCGGCCGTGACTTCTGCTCCTCCACACAGCAGGCCTCCCTGATAGACAGTTTGGCCATTGATGGTGACATCCCTTGGATGGGAATGGAAGATCTTGCAGTCCCATTAGATGGGGCACTCAGGCCCCCAGATGTACAGATGTGCGCATTTTTGAATCACGAAGCAAGTTTCCCTCAAAAGAGTGCCTCGTCTGGGAATCACTAGAGGCAGCTTCCTTCAAAAGAGTGGGTACATTCCCAGGAATATACTTGCGTAATCTCTCCTCTATAGGAACAGACTTCTTACAGACCATCAACCTTGCCGCTGGGGATGCATTTGTCCACCTCTGGTCTGCAATAGGGTTTGAGTATACACAGCTGCAGACACTTGGCACACGGAGATGGAGGGGTGCCCTGCACACTACAGCTGTCGAAGACCAACTCGCCCTTATTTCCCTACAAGGAATTTTGTTGGAAACTGAGTTTGCAATGGCAAGCATAGAAACTAATGCCATATTCTTATGAAATCTTTCTAAGGACTCCCTAAGGACTCCCACTCTGAGAACTAGAAAAGGGCAACAGTTATATTGCTGTCCTCTCTCCAACTCCCACCTCCTAAGCTTCCATTTCTCACTAGCCTAGAGCTGGTAAAGGTTTCTGTAGTATCCTCCCAGAGGGATCATCAGTTAGCGACCACAGGTCCTCCCAAGACCCACAGAGCCTCAGGGGCATTAGTTCTTCACTCAAGCACACCAAAATCCTAACTATTGCACCTAATATGCACCAATTTTGGTAGATTACATTTTATGTCTACACTGTATGACACAATACTCCTAGACCCTTGTAACACCTGTGTTGAAAAAGATGCCTTTTTGGAATTAGCTAGAGCAGAGTGATACAGACACATAGAAACCATAGAATGGAATCTCTTGATCTGGGCATTTTAAATGAATTCCCCTAGATAGCCTCACAGAGTATTGCTGGATAAGATAGTGTTGTGAAATTTATTCTTGAAGGACTGCAAGGAACTTGCCAGACCAATTTGCCTGAGAAGACAAGCTGTCCCATTGTGCTAATGAGAATAATGCACCCTCTCCCTCTCCTCAAAGATGTTCACGACCTAATCCCTAGAACCTGTGAATATCTTACCTTACATGGCAAAAGAGACTTTTCATGAAGCATCTTCTAACTAAAGTTAAGGACCATGAGATGGGAAGGTTATCCTGGATTATCCAGGTGGGTGAACCTTGCCCAGCAGTAGTCACAGGCAGGTGTGACTACAGAAAAATGGTCAGAGAGATGCAATATTGCTGGCTTTGGAGATGGAAGAAGGGGCACAAGCCAAGGAATGTGGGCAACCTCTAGAAGTGGGAAAAGACAAGGAAACGGATTCTTCCCTAGAGCCTCCAGAAGGAATGCAGCCCTGCCGACCCCTTAATTTTAGTCCCATGTCGGACTTCTGACTTCCAGAACTGTAAGATAATAAATTTGTGTTGTTTTAAGCCACTAAATTAGTGGTAATTTGTTACAGCAGCAATTAAAAAAAAAATGCACTCAGGCAAAAGATAGTAGGTCTACAAGTCTGGTGGATAAACACCTCAGGATGCTAATGCATTCACGTGCTTGTTTAAGAAGGAATGCTAGACAACGTTTGCACCTAAATGCCTGCCTTTGTCTGAGCTCAGGTCAATCTCTCTCCCTCCTTCATCCCCCACCTGGACTTCCAGCTCATTACATTAAGCACTCAACGCACACACGTGTCTCTCAATTCCTCTGACTTCCATCCTGTCATAGGACATCTGAATTCCTCCCAGCACATGGTGGGCTGGCTGCCTCACGGCTGGGTGATACTGCAGTTTGAGTGCCCAATAAATAAGCCCCTATTTTTCCCACCCGAGTTTGAAAGATAAAGAGAAACATTTCTGCTTCAAAGCTGATTAAAACAGACCAAAAACATGGCTTGAGCTCTGCAGTCAAAAGGCCTTGCTAACACTGCCTGCTCTCCCCCCTAGTCTAGAGCTTGGGGTTGCCCACCAAGGAAAGTTTGGGTCTATGGAACAGAAACGCTCACTCAGGACTGCGGTCTCCCACTGGCCCAGGACACAGAAGGCAGAGAGGAGGACAAAGCCTCAGGAAGGGAAACTTTTAAAATAAATCAGTTACAACCAATTGAGAAAAGTGGATTAAAAAAAAAATCTCACCTAGATCTCCAGATTTTCGGAATTTCTTTTTAATTCTGTCATTTTGACTTGGGTACATATCACTAACAAGAGAAATGTTTTGTGTGGAAAATAGGACTGGTTCTTTCTGATATTTATTTTGCATTTCAAATTTGCAAAGCAAAATATCTGAATTTTGTTTTTTATTGCTGATCAGTGTAGAACAAGAGCAAGGTTCATAAGCCTTCCTAGCGTGTGACTTTCTTGATCACCTGCAGCACTCCTGAACACATCGTGCCGTGGGCAGGACGGGGGTGCTCAGAGCAGGAGAAAGCACCAGAGCAGTTCAGTCTGTGCGCTCCTACGTGGCCTTTGGAAAAGAACTCCACCTCCCTCAGCCCTAGGCCTCTCATTCACAAAAGAGACATAACCACCCCTCGTGTGCCTACATCTGAGAGGCGGTGTGAGGGTCGCTGAGATACTGCACATAAAAGCACCTTGAACTCTGAAGGCTTTATAGTTATTATGTGTTGTTTCTGTGAATTCAGAAATTATTAAATACTTACCAAATTAGATCATAAGTGTGAAATGTCCTAAAAAGGTAGTATAAATGGAAGGTATGAGATATACAAAACTGTTGTCAATTAAACAACTATTCAGATTTTCCACAAAGGGTACCAAGAGGCCATTAGCTTTACAGTACACATTATAACTTAACACACGAACATATTTTATTGGATTGTATATTTTTATTACATAACTTACATGATTGCTGCATGTCTTGTATCGAATATTCTGCCCTTCACAATTCCTGAGGGGAAAAAAAGAGAATAATGATTTCATAGAAGTGGTAAACAAGGCCCTGGTAAAACTTTTATTAGTGCACATTACCTCAAAGATTCAAAGTTTAAATTCTAAAAAATAACTTTCAAGAATCAGGAGGCCAAAATGTCTCATGGAAGTGTGACTTTAAATAGAAAGTTGAATTAATGTAATATTACTTACACGAAGTTTTTACCCCGGGGGTCCATATAACCACTGAAATTAATATATAATGTGTGTGTATGCATGTGTGTGTGTGTGTGTGTGTGTGTGTGTGTGTATAACGTGTGCATACGTGTATTTTCTTCCATGAGGAAGAAGGGAAAGCTACAGGCAGAAGCATCTGTGTAGCATGTCCCCGTGGGGGAATTTCTCTTCCTCTTACTCAGGAACCCCAAGTTAGCTGGGCACTCACGTCCTTCTCTAACGGATACAACTGTCTCTGTTAGTAATATGCATGAGGCAATGCTTCTATTTTTTATTTCAACCATTGGCTTTACTAAACAGACGCTACGAAATAGTGTTGGGGTGGCTTTCTTGGGATACTGACACTGGAAGGGTCTGAAGTCATACAAAGATTTGAGAACCCTGCGAGGACGACCGCCACATACCCTTTCCTCCCCTCCAGCCACTTGGTCTGGGACCCTGCCACTCATTTTCCAGGCAGATGTTCCCATTGGATGTTTGAAATTCCATCTGGGAGGTGCTTTCCTCAGGCAGTGCCTGCTGCTCTGTACTTTACATAAATTCCTTAAAGATATCTGATCTATTCATGGTATGTTTCCCAATTTTTCAATGGAGTTACATATTTTTACCTTTTATGTTTCCCTGGCCAATTCAATGGCAAATTTGGAGCGAGGAAAGCTAAACAGAGGCTTAACTCATCATCTTGCATTAAAAGTCAGTCGATACTATTTCAATTGTTTTAAAATATTTACTCCTAGAAGAACAGAAATTCTTTTTCTTTTTTTGTGAGGGAGATTAGCCCTGAGCTAACATCCGTTGCCAATCCTCCTCTTTTTGCTGAGGAATATTAGTCCTGGGGTAACAACCGTGCCCATCTTCCTCTGCTTTATATGGGACACCGCCACAGCATGGCTTGACAAGCGGCGTGTGGGTGCATGCCCGGGATCCGAACCTGCGAACCCCGGGCCACCGAAGCGGAGCACGCGCACTTAACTGCTACGCCACGTGGCCAGCCCAGAACAGAAATTTTTAAGAAGTGGACCTGAGGAGATCATTTTTTTCCCAGTATGATTTAAGTATGAACTTATATGAAATGATTGATGGAGGCTATTGTGTAATATATAACTCTTTGCACACACTTTCTGATGATTCTATTTTTATTTATCACAAAAGGAGTAAGTGAAAACTAATAAAGTGACAGGAAGTATAGAGGAGGAAAATCAGTCATTCAAAATCCCATCACCAGGACCTTTACTCTTAATATTTTGGCATTTAATCTTCCAATGTTTCTGCCATGATTTATTTACAGATGTAAAATCATACTGCTAATTCAACTTTGTATTTTTTTTTAATCTAATATAACAAGCATTTTCCCATTTTATTAATAGTTCTTTGGAAAAATTGTTTTAATGACTACATAATAGTTCATTATACAAACATTATTTTTTTGTAGTTTTGAATTAAAAAATTTCTTTTAATTGTGGTAAAATACACATAAAATTTACCATCTTAATCAGTTTTAAGTATACTGTTCAGCATTATAAGTATATTCACATTATTATACAGACATTACCTTTTTTTTTTTTTTGGTGAGGAAGATTAGCCCTGAGCTAACATCTGTTGCCAATCCTCCTCTTGTTGCTGAGGAAGATTGGTCCTGTGCTAACATCTATGCCCATCTTCCTCTACTTTATATGGGACACTGCCACAGCATGGCTTGACAAGCGGTGCGTAGGTCTGCACCTGGGATCCAAACCTGCGAACCCTGGGCCGCTGAAGCAGAGTGTGCAAGCTTAACCACTATACCACTGGGCCGGCCCCCAGACATTACCTTTTGTGGTTATTTATGCTGCCTCTTCTTTTTCCCTACTTTTAAAATTTACATACAGTAAAATTCACTTTTTTGGAGTGTATAATTTGATGAGTTTTAACAAACCCATACAGTTGTGTAAGCACTACCATAATCAATATGTAGAACAGTTCCATCACTGCATAAATGCCCCCATGTTGCCCCCTTAGAGTCAACTTCTCCCCACTCTCAGCCACAGGCAACCACTGATTTGTCTTCTGTCCCATTAATTTTGCCTTTTCCATAATGTCATATAAATGGAATCATACAGCATGTAGCTTTTTGAGACTGACTCTTTCACTTAACATAATACATCTGAAATCCATCCATGTTGTTGCATGTATCAGTTTTCTCCTTTTTAATTGCTGAGTAATATTCCACTATATGTATGTACAACAGTTTGTTTATCCATTCACCAGCTAGATATTTGGGCTGTTTCCAGTTTCTAGCAACTATGAACAAAACTGCTGTAAACATTAACATACGGGTTTTGTCTGAGTGTAACTTTTCATTTCTTTTGGATAAAAACTAAGAAATGGGAATAGTGAGTCTGCTTATTTTTATAAAATATAATAATGCTTTGCTAAACATCTTTATATTTTCATTTTTGTTCATATTTAGAATACATATCTAGAAGTGAATAACAAATGCCAGTCCATTTATAATATGACTTTTCCATGTACGAGTTTTTAACTCTTGGTTGGCTAAGTAGTATGTGATTGGTTGTTTTTCTAAGAAGGGTATATGGATGGCATATTATTAAACCTTTGTATGTCACACAGGAAAGGCAATGCAGCAAGATATATTACTTTTTTCATGATCTTCCTCAAAACTGTAGACACTCTTCATTGACCTTTGACATTTAGACTTGCAGAGGAGAAGTCTGATTTTTATTCTTTTGTACATGTCTGGAAGCTTACAATTGTTTTGTTTTGTTGGCATTTGAAGTAAAAATTGCAGTCAAAATATATCTAGTTGTGTGTTTATTTTTATCAATTTTGACTGAAAATGGTGAGCCCTTTTGATTGGAGTGCTCAAGGTCTTTATTTGCAGTGCTGCAGACTATTCTCAGATTATGATTTTGATTACCGCTCTTGTTCCAAGAATGCCTGTAATTCTTAAGTTAGAGTTCTCTCTCTCTGCTCCTCTTATTTCCTTATTGATCTATCTATGATGTTCTCTTATATACATCTCATTTCTTTGACCTTCTCTTATGCTTCCAAGAAATCTCCTACGGATGTTCCTCCACATGACTGATTTTCTTTTTCTGTAGTGATTATTGTGTATTTTATTTCTGATAAACTTTTTGATACTGATTTTCACTTTTTCTTTCTTTGTGATCCTTCTCGAACTCACCCTTCTCCATCGACATCTCATACCATCCTAACCTCACTCTCTATTCCAACTGCAGCATGTACCCCTAGTCTCCTCACATCTGTATTCTGGGAGGTGCAATCCCTAATGGGATTTAGAAGGCATATGAGAGAAAGAAGTTTTGGAACAGAACAGCATTATAGCTGCCTCCAAAAGTGTTACCTAAATGACAGTTAAATTTCTGTACTTGAAAACAGACAAGGTATCCAATTAGTTGCCCTTTTTAATATAATTCCCTTGACTTGTGGATTAGAACATCTTCCCAGATTATTGCAATAGGTTGACCCAGTCTTAGTATTTTGTAACATTGTGTGTTTCCATCTCTGTCACTTGTCATAGGTACACAACTTCAAAATTTAATATTAAACTCTCGATGAGGTTACATCAAATTTTAAGGATTCAAGAAGCACCAAACTGGGAGGCTCACGGGAAAACCAGAGAGAAATGACTCCATCCTCCTGGGAAACAACAGCTATGCCTAAGTCATTTACTTATGTGACTTATTTCATTATGCTTTCTACATGTGGATAAAAGAAGAAAAGAAATTACAGAAAAAGTGAAAGGGTAACTTAAAATACTCTGCTTAATTTAGAAAAGCCCCCATTGAGGAAAGCAGCTAACAGATTAGGGAAGTGATAACCAAAAGCTTTTTGTATCATTCTGAGTTATAACCTTAAAAAGCTTTGATTCAATTTCAAGTGGACAGGCAAATTACAGAGACATAGTTTAAGAAAGTATTTGAATTGATCTAAATACTGGAATGCAAAAACTGTTGAAACTTACAAAGAATGACATTTTCTTTAAAAGTGTATTAGAACTTCAGGAATAATTTTTCAGATGCATTTTTAGTAATTGTTTCATTTTAGCTATTTAAATGAGAAATAAAACTACTTTTATAAAAAGAAATTTAAAACTAAAAGGAAAAAACCTATCAGTTGAAGGGAGCTTATGGTTGTGACTCACGCCTGCTGTGTAGACCACATAGTCATGGTCTACACCCCACTGCCATCTGCTGTGTCCTAATTGTAAGCCCAGTATCCAGGAGGCACTAACTTGCATCTTGATGTTGAGCTTGCAAAATCTAAACCTAAAATATAAGTATATCTCCATTTCAAATCCCACTACAGCTGCAGCAAAGCAATATGGAAAACAGAGCATTTTATTTCACGAATTCTCAAAATATAAAATACCATTTGGGACTTATTCCTTCTCCAACTACCTCTTATGGTGAACCTACTATGTACTAGGATGAGGATATAAAGATGCAGGGAGATTCTCTCTCAATTCCCTTAACAAGTCAGTAGGAAGAGCTTTTTTTAACCCAACCCTCTGGCCAACATTTTTATCATTCTACTTCATTTTGTCCAACCTAACACACACGAAGCCCACTGACTGGCCTCTATTGATATCACATGCTTTGGTTACAATTTAATATGAAAATGAATGACCACTTTATGAAACAGGCATAAAATGAAATGCAAGTTATTTTAAAGTTAAGGACACTGGAGTCCTAATTCCCCAAGCAGGAACCTGCCAGCTTATTCTGGAAATAATTCCTTTGGCTCAAAGCAACTGAACTG